TTATTCACATCAAGTTTGTGATCATCGACATCCCAGTCACAAAAGTGAGAGCATAATCGAGATTAAACATGCCATTGAATAGTTCAATGAATCTCAAAAGATCTACGAATTTCATTAGAATGAAATTGGTAATTTCTTTACCTACCTAAAATAGATTTGAAGTTGATTACGGCATCCCTCTTCAAAATTCGAATAAAAAATATGTATCCTAGCCTTAATTAAATTTTTTCTGGGTTAATATTTAAGGATTAAATATATCAACTAAGTTGAATTCTTTTCTCCCTTAATAGATGTCCAGTTCAGACATAAATGGTCATCCTCATCCTTCTGGAAATGGTTTTCCTTCTCAATATGAATATGATCTTCCACAAGTTGATCAAGGTGAAAGAATGTTCCCTTCTTCAAATGGTGGAACTGAAAATCATGTTTCTCCAACTCTTCCTCTACCTCCTCCAGTGATTCTTCCTGACCCACGTTTTCTTCAACTTGAAAATTTCAAGGTTACTCAAGCCCTGTTGGCATGCAAACACCTAGATGGAAATTATGTCTGTGCAGATGTTCCAAAAATTAAGTCACACATTGGTAGATTGGGAATGTTGGGTGTCATTTTCCCAAAGGAGCTGGTTGCTGACTTGGTTCTTCACTCACTTCCTGAGTCATATAGTCAGTTTTTTAAGGACTACTATATGACTGATAACGACGTGACCCTTATAGATCTGACAAATTTGCTAATTGTTGCTGAAGCAGAAATGCTAAAGTTCACTGGTCAAGCAAATATGGATGAAGGATCTGCCTCCCAAAAATCCATGGATAATAACATTGGTAGTCCATAAAAGGTCTCTCCTCCCAATTGGAAACGATCGACCAAGGTCAAATTGTTTGACCACATGGCAAAGAGAATGGCCAATTCTGAGATAGTCCCATGTAAAAATTCCTGGAAAGTACATATGTTTCCATTGCCAATTGAAGGGGCATTGGATGCGAAGCTGTCCTATCTACCTGAAAGATCGCAAGGATAAGAAAGTCAAGTTGTATGACTTTGCTTCAGGTACATCCGTTATCTAACCCCATTAAGTTCTTATTCATAGAGTCTTAATACATGATGTGATAGTCACATTTTGATGTTTTGTAGAATCTAAGAGAAAAAAGGAAGCTTACGAAGAGCAAGTTAAATCTGATCGTGAGAGATGGATTCCGGTCGCATAGTTTAATGATCGGATTTTTTGAGTTGTTGATTAGGAGTTATTATAGATTAATAGGTTGCTTAGGAAATATCTAGAAACATAGTTTTCATATATATTTGCATTGTACGGACAAATTTTTTCCGCTCATTATTAATAAAATGAAATTCTGATTTACTTATTTTATAATTCCTTTCAATGGTATTTATGAAAAATTGGTGGTTATATTTCTATTATTAGCAATGGTTAAATATGGATGTGATTCTTAGTTGTGTCATTTGTGGAAATGTCATAATCAACCAAGTGAAAAGGAATTCTCATCACCCAATTTTCAATTGCATAGAAACTTGGAGTCATGCAATCTGTATTGTGTGATGTATGAGAATCTTGATCTTTGGAAAAATTAAGACTAATTCGTTGATCGCATGTCTTTGTAAGTCAAAATGAAGGACTAATGGATATAGTACACATTGATGTGGACTATTTAGATCCACCACAAAGGACGATAAGTATATTCGTCATGATTTACGGATGGTTCAGTAAATATGGTTATATTTATAAGAGTAAGTGTAATTCTGATTCTTTGAAAGGTTTCATAGAATGGCAGAACGAATATGAAGAATCTATTAAGTAGAAAGATAAAAGTTTCTCCAATCTGAAAGGAAAGAAGAATACTTTAGTATCGTGTTTTGTGATCATCTTAATAATTATGAAACCATTTCACAGTCGATCCTCGAAGAACATCTTAGTGAAATTGTTTCAACTAAGAAGAGGAATCAAATATTGAAATGGTTTAATTGAGAGATGAGTCATACTTCGTATCAAATAAACCAATTTTAGAGTCGCACTCTAGTAACTTCTAATCCTAATTCAAACTAAGTAGGTTTATAACAACTCATGAAATATGGAGTAGAAATGTTTTCTTGCTCTAGCACATTTGAAATTGGTAGTTGTGATGTTTTGGTTAAAACAAAGATAAACTAATACCAATTAAATGAAGTGTTTTCATGATAAGAACCCACAATATCCTTTGATTGTTTGGTTTTGCTTGTCGAGGAATGTTCCTTAACAAAGAAACTTATGTGTCAAGGAGTCATTGGGAGTCTTAATGGTCTTGAATAGTTTCAGGAGTCAATCAAGAATAAAACTGTTAGTTATCACTAGCATACGACCTGAGGTTGATAACCCATCGTGTTAAGTTGACACATTCTTGTTTCTATGAACCTTCCAATTAAGTTGACTATGCATGTGAGTTCTATAGTTCTCATTTGACTACAAAAGGAAGATCACGTTGGTCAGTGATAGTACACTGGTCAATGGAAGTGAGTTGCTTGGCAACCTGGAAGCGCCGGTAGGCCCTTGTGCTACCAGAGGGTGAGAGACTAAGAATAAGAAAAGTTCAGTCCATGAAAGGAAAACTGAATTTGATTTGGTTTTTTCATACAACTTATCTTATGATTGTAGGTTGGAAGTGATAAGATTCATATGGATAGGGACTCATACACCATTAAATCTAAGCGACAAAAGGGTTTTGCTCTAATTCATAAAAAAATGAGAGAAACACTTTCACTAATGGATTTTAGATCTAATTAATATCATTATGGTTAGCAGTTGTGATAATTGCGTTCTCAAATTCGTATATGATTACGGAATCCCTTTTCATACTTCGAATTGTGAGAAATGGTACAAAATAGTTTGAACGTTCAAGTCTTATAGTTGTAAGTTCTAAATGGGTTTTATACACACACATGTGCTATCTAATGAAAGGTGTATGAGCTTTAAGTCTAGATGAAGACTTATCAAAGCATCACGTATCAGAAATTTGCACTTTAGTAAGAAAGTAAATAATATTGATTTCTAGAAGTCCATTTGATTTCTGAATACATATCGAAGCTAGTGGGAGCATAATTGTTATGCAGATAGAAGTATAATCGTTATGCTAGTGGGAGCATAATTGGTATGGTGAGTATTGCAAGTTAGTAAAACTATTTATAGTAAACAAAGTTTTCAATTTGCATGTTGCTATATTTGAGAATTGTTTTGCTATAAAAGTTTTTAAGGGAGAGGGCACTCATACTTCATTCAAATCTAAAAGTTTAGATTGAAGGATTTTAATGGAACTTAGTCATTAACATATATGAATAACGTGTTGAAGTAATTCAACATAGGAAATTCGATATATGGAAATATTAGAGCAAGAGACTGGTCAAGTATCATGTCTTTATGTAAGACATTATGTATCGAATCTCATATGCTTCAGATATATGATCGATCACATACGCTATAATATTTGCGTGTTCCGATTTTTCAAATGCATAGGGCATTGAGAGAGAAAAATGACTAGAACAAGATGTGACTAAAGTTGTTAAACAATGTCAAGGACAATCTAAGGTTCATCGAAGATTAGTTGCTTGTGGACATTTGGAAGTATAGTAATATTTGGACAGACCATATTGACATGTTTATGATTGGGATAATTCTTGATCATAACTGATAGTCATATGGGAATACGGAAATGTTTCCATAATGGGAGTTGATGATTGAAATCTACATATGAGTTAGAAACTTTGATGCAAGGAAGGTGTTCAAGAATTGTACCTTGAATTTGATACTTCATTACCATGAAATTGTTTTAAGTAACAAAGTTTCAATGGAGCATTTTGTGACATGGTTGACTAAGTCTTGGTGACTATAACGCCATGTCATCGCAAATTGCATGTAAGGTTAGACTCTAACACATTTAGTAGTGACGAGAATTGGGAATTCTTACACTTATAATAAGGATTTAGAATTGTGAAATGAGCATCATTGGAATTATGTCCAATCAATTTGTTCACAAAGGAAGGACCATAGAGAAACATAGTATGCATGTTTAGAACATGACATGACTAATGTTTGATTCAAGTATTTTGTTGATTAATCGAAACATTATACAATTAATAGAGTCTAATTAATATGGTGATTAAATAATAAGTGTTTTAGTTATATTAAATAGTTTTGAGACCATAGTTAATTAGGTTATTATTGTGTTTCACTTTGCATGTTTTACTTCCCGAATAATTGGATTATTCAAACATCCACAGTCGATCATACTTTTGGAAGTAAGTAGCGAATTAAGACTGTCATGAATCGAACTGTAAATTGTCTAAGGAGTTAGACATAGCAATGGTTTGTTGTAGTATTCATGAGTACTTTTGAAATGAGAATTTAAGTAATAGATTAATCCACTCTTAGAGAATTACTTCATGGATTTTATCAAGAGTAATTTTGAGACGATAATATCTTATATTCTTGAAATGGGGATATATGAGTTGTTGTTTACGAGTCAGTTGTGCATTGATAATACGTAAACACATCAGTAACTTAATGTTATAAAACATATTGTTGTGTGTGATTTGATGAGTAAATGGTACACGCATATAAGTCGAAGTTTATCCGTTCCTTTTACCCAAAACGGGAAAAAGCGATATCTGTGGGCCCCTCGATGATTTGGTGATGACATCTAAAGTGCTTGGCCAAGCCTAGACTGAATTGATGTGTTCAATTAATAGTATGTTATCAGTCATCATAAATCATAAATCAGGAAAAAATCTTGGACAGAGACGTTGATTATAATCCATGTCTCATGTCCATACGATATCTTGTATAACGGAGGAATATTTGATCACTTATATTAGGACATGTCACCGACTGGGTCAGAGTTCAACAACGGCTTTTGGTAGCTAAAATTTGCGAGTCAATTTTGAAGTTATACTTGCAAATATAGTTATTAGACTTATCAAAGTAGGAGACTGTTGGATTAGGTGTCTAAGCACATAACTATAATTGGTATAAACTTAATATGTGGTCAAGTTCACTTAATATACTATCTCCCAACAACTTGAAACTACTGTCACCCACATATCTTTTAAAGAAACCACACCATTCGGCTGAATCATATATGCTCACTTTCCATGTAAGGAGATCAAAATCAGCCAAATACCAATGCGGGTGCGGTATGTTGATGGGAATTAAAACCTTCAAAAAAATGATAAGTTATTAGATATATACATATTTTAATTTATATATATATATATATATATATATATATATATATATATATATAAAATATTATATGATACATATAAATAAATGTACTAACCTGATCAATATCCTTCCAATGTGGTCCATCAACCATCCCGGCTGCTACACGCCTCAAATAACATTGTTTCTCAGATTCCAAAGTTGTTCCTTCAGGATTAATAATCGTCCACTTACCAGCCGACGACTTTATTTCCTTGAGCAAGGACGTCCAAATAACCAAATGTTGCGTGTTAGAAAAAAAATCATTTTGTACATCCAACACTTTATGTAATATAAAATAAGGGATGTGTCTTACCTCAGAGAGCAACCATCTAGAGCCAATACCAAGTAAACTTGACCAAATTTCCCAATTCATCTCAATACCTCTTAAAAGTCTATGCTCCAAAAATACCGCTCCCATGTTCTTTCCCCACAATTTCCAAAATTCAACATCACTATCCAGATAACCGTCCAATAGTAATGGTCTTTTTTCTACATTATTAGACTTCTGCGGTTTTTTCCATTTTCTGTTCTTAAATGGTTCCGTCGACGAAACCTACAAAATCAATATGTTAATTAATTTGGAACGATTATATACTATATAAATAGAAATTACTTAATTTTATACCTGTGTGTAAGGCTCCCTACAAAATTTCGATTTCATTTTTAATCGCCCTTTTAACAGTGTAACTGTGTTATCCTCAACTACAACAACAGGCGCTGGCGTCTGCAAATACGTATGGCCTGACTCGGGATCCAAACCACGAAAACAATGCTTCCCCCGCATCCACATATTCCATATCATTCAAACCAAATTGTTTATCTTTTTCCCATTTATTCATTCTCTTCCTAAAGTGCTCGATTGTGGTTTTCAACTGAGTAACAACGCCAAGTAACTTGTCTATTTTATTGTCTTCTAGAGGTTTGTTGTATGTTTCCTGAAAATAAGAGGCTGAGGTGTAATCTGCACCCCAAAAATGAGAGCCTGAGGTGTAGTCTACTCCCTGAAACTAAGACGGGTGTGGTGATGGAGTGTAACATCCATAAAAATCAGGCCAAATTTAAACTTTTTAAAATCATTTAGAAACCAACAGTTATTACAAATTTGTTTTCAAAACGGTTCTATATCAGAGTCTCCCAGAAACATAGTCATAAAATGTGAGGAGTTGTACGATCATGCCTTTGCCTTCTCGCGATCATCTGAGGTAACTGAAACCAAAACTGAAATTGTAAGCCCAAAGCTTAGTGAGTTCCCTCAAAATACCCATACACACAACAATATAAATATAATCACAAACAACATACTATGGGTCCAATCAACCATCGGGTTGGAATACCCCAGGCATTCAACCATTCGGTAGGAATGCCGACATACTGTGGGTCCAATCATCCTCGGGATGAAATACCCCAAGCCCACAACTAGCAGGTTGGAATGCCCACATACTACGAGTCCAATCATCCTCAGGATGGAATACTCATGGCCCACAACCATCGGGTTGGAATGCCCAGGTCTATTGGCTTTCGCACAAAGCAGATAAGCCTCAACCACTAATCAAACATGTGCACATATAGCATAAAATCACATAACAGTCTATAGACAGATAAACCGATCAAACGTATCATAACGTAACAACATCCTATCTACCAGGATACTGATCTAACAGATCATAATAGCATAATACCATCCTATCTACCAGGATACTAATCTAACAGATCATACTAGCATAACATATCAGGATAACAATCCAAAAAGGTCGGCCTTGGTGCCTTCGACCCTTGAGTATAGTAAGGAAAACTCACCTCACAACTGTCAAACTGAAGGGATAAGCTCAAACCCTCGAATCACAGTCACGAACTCCACCACCTATATTTACCATGAGACTATTTCCATAAATTTCCATTTTACCAAAATACCCCCAAAAGTCAAACTAGTCAACCCTTGGTCAAAGTCAAGGTCAACGGTCAAGGTCAACAGTCCATGTTGACCCAACTCATCGAGTGCAGCTCACTGACTCGTCGAGTCCTTCCAAAACTCGAGAAGTCGTGAAACCCCTAGTTGACTCGTCGAGTTTTTAGACAACTTGTCGAGTCAATGCGTGTTCACAAGTCGGGAAAACCCTAACTAACTCGTCGAGTCGTCTCACTGACTCGCCGAGTTCATGAAGAAACCCTCGAGGCTAATCTTCATCAGACTCGCCGAGTTGAACATGCAACTCGTTGAGTCCCTTCAGTCCTTTCTCAATTCAGATAATTTTAAGCCACCACAAAGCTCCATATCGCAAATCTAAGCTCCTAGGGCATACTTCTTATGTAAAGTTGCAAACTTTACATGCATGAAAGGTGATAAGGGCCAAGATCTAGATAAAGATGATGTTCTAAGTGAGGAAAAGCGCATAAACTTATTAAATACTAAGCCTTTATGACTTTAAGAGCCAAGATGAGCCTAGATCTGAAGTTGCAACTTCAGATCATACCCAATACTCAAAATGAATCATCAACATTGCTAAAATGGCCCTAAAAATGAATAGATCTAGTTAGAAGAAGGTCAAGGTAACGACTTGTTACCTGAAAAACGATGCTAAGATGAAACAGGACTCGGATCCACAACCTTTTTCTTGTTCCAAGCTTTAGTGCTTCAAGATCTTTCTTCCACAACCACCTTCAAAGCTTAAAAATCACACAAATGGAGAGTAAGAAACGATTTAGGGTTTCTGGACTCAAGAGAGGAATGTAAGGGAGGCTAAGGGGGAAAATGATCCTTTAAATAGGGTGCAAAACCCTAGAAACTAGGGTTTCATCCTCCAGCACCAACTCGTCGAGTCGTGTCCTCCGACTCATCGAGTTGGTCACTTAAAACACGCGGACAAATTTGTTCCTACTCGACGAGTCAGGGCATCCAACTCGTTGAGTTGACCTTTCAAAAAGAAAATAAAACTGTAAAGTTTATACCTGAGAGTCGAGGTCTTACAATTCTCCCCCACTTGAACTAGACTTCGTCCTCGATGTCTGTTGCGGTGAACAACTCCGGGTAATGCTCCCGTATCTCAACCTCTGGCTCCCAAGTCCACTCAGATCCCCTCCGGTGTTCCCATTGTACCTTTACCAAAGGTACTTCCTTGTTCCGTAGAACCTTCACTTTTCTCTCCAAAACGGTCACTGGCCTCTATACGTAGTTCATGCGCTCGTCGACCTGTATGTCAATCAATGACACCACCGTTTCCTCATCTAATACGCACTTTCACAACTGAGACACATGGAAAGTGTTGTGGATATGACTAAGCTCCTTTGGTAGCTCTACTCCATATGCCACCTTGCCAACCCTGGCAATGATCCTGAACAACCCGATGTATCCCCTCTTCCTGAAGCGGATCACACCCTTCCAAGGAGAGACCTTCAGGAGTACCATGTCACCGACCTGAAACTCTAATTCAGATCGGCGCCGGTCGGCGTAGCTCTTCTGTCGACTCTGAGCAGTCTGCAATCACGGTCTTATCTGTTGAATCTTCTCGGTAGTTTGAAAGACTACCTCTGTCCGTCCCATCACTTTGTGACTAACCTTACCCTAACAAATCGGGGTACGACATCTCTGCCCGTACAACAACTCAAAAGGTGGGGCGCCAATGTTGGAATGATAGTTGTTGTTGTAGGCGAACTCTGCAAGGGGTAGGTAGGAATCTCAGCTCCCACCAAAGTCGACGACACAAACCCTTAACATGAGCCTCTCTAATTAAGCCCACAAGTGGAGAATCCACTGATATCCTCATACATATTGCCAAAGTGGAAGATCCAGCTGACTTGCGGCTCAGAGCATCCGCCACCACGTTCGTTTTACCTGGGTGGTAAAGGACCTCACATTCATAGTCCTTGATTACGTCTAGCCATTTGCGTTGTCTCATGTTCAGGTTCGGCTGATCCATGATGTGTCTCAGGCTCTGGTGATCTGTGTATATGGTACAGCGGACCCCACAGAGATAATGTCTCCAAATCTTGAGAGCGAATACCACCTCTCCCAACTCCAGATCATGAGTAGGGTATCGCGCCTCGTGCGACTTCAGCTTCCGAGATGCGTAGGCTATCACCCATCCTCTCGGCATGAGGACCACTCCTAGTCCCATGATGGATGTGTTGGATTAGTGTCTAAGGCTATAACTATATTTGGTAAGTACTTGACCCGGTTGAGCATGGTCCTTTTGGGTTGCCTTCACCACAGCAACTTGACAGGATGATTTATAATCAGAGAAGAAATATTATTAATATATTATGAGAATAATATAAGGAATAATAATATTGTTATTTGATTAATATAAGTCATAAATTAATTAGGAATTAATTTGGTGACTTAAAGAGGTTAATTGAATAAAGGGGCATAAACTGTCAAATGTGTGATAGTTGTATTTTGGGCTATGAATCCTTATGGATGAGAGGGTGGACGATTTTAGGGTTTGGAGAAGCCTAGAAATCGTCCAAGGCCTTGTCTATAGGGATTATTGGATTGCTTAGGGCCTAAGTTATTCAATTAGGGTTTAAGGTGTAACCCTAGTAGCCAATAGTATATATAGACCCTTTGGGTGGAAGAAATCGACACTCTTGTATCCCAAGAAACCCTAGAGCCAATTTTCTCACCCTCCCCTCTCTCTATTATCATCCTTTTGCTAGTTGGTGTTTGTAAGCCATTAGAGGAGTGACAATTGTGACTCTAAGCTCCAAAGACAAGAAGATTCAAGCAAGAAACTCAAGGTATTCCTTTAGATCTGATTTCATATGTTATTATTTGAATGTTTATACTAGATCTATCAATAGAAGTCTTGGATACATTGCATGTTCAATTAGAGAAACCAAGATCCAAGCATTAGGGTTTGCATGTGCACATAGGAAAGTTCTTATGGCTCAAACCCATCAGGATGCATCATAGAACACTACAAAATCCTCGACTCCCTCCGGAAGAGTCAATACTGGAGCCTTGCATAAACGCTGTCGGAGGGTCTCAAACGCCCTCTGCTGCTCAGGTCCCACCGGAAATCCACCCCCTTCCTCGTCAGACGAGTGAGGGGTACTGCAATCTTGGAGAAATCTTGTATAATTCTCCGGTAGTACCCTGCCAATCCCATAAAGCTCCTGATATCCAAAGGAGATTTCGGAACCTCCCACTACATAACCGCCTCGATTTTGGCCGGATCGACCAAAATCCCCTCCTCGTTAATGAGGTATCCTAGGAACTGAACCTCTCACAACCAAAACTCGCACTTCGAGAACTTGGCGTATAGCCGTTCTCGCCTCAAAACTCCCAATAACTCCCGTAGATGCTCCTTATGCTGCTCTCGGGTCTTAGAGTATATCAAGATACCGTCTATGAATACAATGACTGAGCAATTGAGCATCGGTCTGCAGACCCGATTCATCAGGTCCATAAATCCTACAGGCGCGTTGGTGAGCCCAAACGGCATCACTATGAAGTCATAATGTCCATAACGAGTCCGGAATGTGGTCTTATCCACGTCCTCCTCCCTAACCCTGACCTGATGATACCCGAACCTCAGTTTTTATCTTGGAGAACCAAGATTCCCCCTACAACTGATCAAAAAGATCATCTATCCTCGGGAGTGGATAACGGTTCTTCACCGTCAACTTGTTCAACTCCCGGTAATCAATGCACATCTGGTGTGAACCATCCTTCTTCCTGATGAAGAGAATCGGTGCTCCCCATGGGGAACTGCTCGGCCGAATGAATTGCTTGCCTAGCAGTTCCTGCAACTGTGATGACAACTCCTGCATCTCTAGTGGTTCCAA